AAATTCCCATCTGGCTTTATTAGAACTAAAATTGTTACTGTTTTTAATATCTAGAATTAGCTCCCTTATTTTTAGACAAAATTTTTCATTATTAATTAAGTCAGAGTTAAATTTCCAATAACCCTTAGTTTTTGATGAGGTATGATCTGTTTGTATTATTAAGGAAATGGAACAGTGGTCTGTTAAAGGTGCTGCAGACATTGTACAGTCTTTAGCCAATAAAAGTAAGTTATCTGATAATAACCAATAATCAATTCTTGATTTGCTGGCTGCATTGGGTCTAAACCATGAGAATTGCCTAAGGCTAGGATGAAGATATCTCCAGACATCAATTATTTTAAGGTTAGAACAGAATTTGGAAACCAAGGGATTTAGCAGAGAAGATGTGCTTTTAGGAGGATATCTATCATAAGTTTCATCCGGTACCACATTAAAATCTCCACCCACAACAATATTTTCTGTAGGGTATGATCTCTTTAAATCGGAAATTACAGAGGATATTTCCTGCAATAGATTTTGATTCAATTTAGAATTATTGTAACCATATACGTTTACCAGAATGAAAAAAAAGTGCTCAATATCTAACACCACTGCTAGCCAATGTCCATTAGGGTCATATTTAGCAGAAATTATTTTCCCTGGACAGTTATTAAATAAAATTGCAGTACCAGCCGAGTGGGAGGAACCATGGCTAAGTAAAACTTTATCTCCCCATTGACTAGACCAAAACGAAGAGTCTGAAACAGTTGAGTGTGTCTCTTGTAAAAAAATACATTGAGAACCATTACTTTTACAAAATAAGAACATTGCTTTACGTTTGACTTTGTCTTGGATGCCCCTGACGTTAAGTGACATGAGAGAAATTTTGAACTTAACTGGAATCATAACAAAAATAGCAAAAGATGAAATAAAATAACAGAAATTTGTTCACAAAAGAGGAAATCTCAGAACGGGTGGTATAAACCCCAAACAGTTATAACCACAACAGAGCATACCTCCCAGCCTAGCGTTTCTTAACAGTCATATTTCAAACTGTCCTACCATAAAAAGGACAACTACACAGTCATGCGGCGTCAATGCGCTTCCCTTCAATATACCCAAACGGTCCACGGTAGTAGGCTATCTTTCCTGCTTTTCGCGCCTGATCGATCAAAGGCCACAGCGCAGCACGGGCCAGCCGGTCCTCCCTCGTCATATCCTCCGTGAAACGAACTCCGTGGTCACGGCACACAGATGAATTTTTAGTAGACTTCCAAATTTCGTCCCTGTATTTACGCATTGTGAACTGCACAATCACTTGCCTGGGTTTACCTAACTCCTTCTTGCCAACTCGGTGCACTGTGTCAACAATGTCTTCTACTTTATGAATCAAATGCGGAGCAATTTCAGCGATCATGGCAATCGTTTCTTTACGAGCATCCTCCTCGGGCTTCTCTTTCATCCCGTTGATCCGGAGATTCCACCTCCTTTTATATCGCTCTAGCTCTGACGTTCTGCTCGCCAGGTCTTTGTGTGATGTTGTTAGAAATATGAGTGATTTGCTCGCTTCTGCACATTTTTCTTTGCAATCTTTAATTTCAGCGGCATTGAATTCAACCGCCTTAGAAATCTCTGCCACCATGATACTGTTCTTTCGCATCTGATTCGCCATGTCTTCTAACTGTTCATTTTGTACGTCAAAACGAGCTGTCAGTGATGTTATGGCTTGCAAGAGAGTTGCGTTAGTGATGTCATCATCATGAGGTTTTAGCTTTTTTTTATCGTTGTCTTTGGTCGGGGTGAAATGGGATGCATCACGCCGTTTGTCTGTTTTAGCCGTCTGTACCTCCATTTCTGGATCTGAGGCCGCGTCCTTCACTGAAGTGATGTATATCTTTGGGTGGGTAGTCTGCTGTGAAGATTTCGGCATTTTGACGATGTAAAACACCCCTGTGGTGTTTAAAAGTTGTTTTAGGTAGGTGAAGATGAGAATTTTTGAATTCTAAAGATAAACTAGAAGTTACGCTAGGCTGCTCGGTGAAAACGCATGCGTTCAGCCCGCCATCTTGTCCCCTCCTTCTCTTTGCCCTTGTTTGGTATCCCGCCGTCGGTGTGATGACGCGCTAACAAAATGGCGACGGTTGGCCGCGCCTACTTGTGGCTTTTTTTTTTTTTTTTTTTTTGTAATTAATATACGAAAATGAGAATATATAATCACAGTATGTTAACAGGAAATCGAAGAGACAAAAAGAGCAACAATTTTGGAAAAAGAAACAACAACAGATAACAAAAAAATAAACAAACAAACAAAAAAAAAACAGGAGTTGTAAATACATTACAAGTTAAAGAAAAAGATTATATAATTTACAAATTTCAGTTGTTTTTAAAGCCTTTTTTGTAAAAGAGTTAGACACTGTTTCAAAGTAATACTGCATTTCAGTAAGCAAAATATTAAAAAAAAAGGTTTTTGGTTTGAAAATTTACATTTATGGATATAAAATTTTGTTAATAAGACAAGAAGGTTAAGAAAATATGTTTTCTTTTTATGTAAAGCCCCCGTTCCATAATCAACAAAACCAAATAAAACATTCTCCCACAGCAAGGAAAATTCCTCATCAACATTCTCAATTATAAAAAGTGAGAAGTCTTTCCAAAGCAAGAGTAATTGCATTGCCAAAATAAGTGAACCAGGGACTCAGGGTGCTGCCCACAAAATGAACAATTAATATTAAGATCTTTTTTATATCGTACTAAAAGAGTATTGACTGGGTATGTACGGTGAATAATTCTGAATGAAACTTCTTTTATCTTATTTGTAATTAAGTAGTTATTTGGGATGAGCCATATTTTTCTCCAATCAATATCCGAAACAAAAGAATTCCAATAAAAAGTAACATTTGGAACTGATACAGTTCCATTAAGAAATAAAAAACGTATTGTTTTGTTTGAAGAAGCTGCAGAGAAACAATATTTTCCAATCATTGTAGTAGAAGGGTCTAAAAGAGGTAAAACAGAAGGATAGGGGATGCCTTGGAATAATCTAATAACACCAGATGGTATAGCATCAAATACCACAGCAAATTCTTTAGGGGGGATGGGAATATTGAATCGATTAAGAAATTCGTTATAATTTAATAAATGGCCATTTGAGTTAAATAATTGACTAACAAGCAGAATATTTGCTTCAAACCAGCGCTGAAAGAAAAGAGATTTGTTTTTATATACAATATTTTGGTTGTTCCAAATAAAATATTTGTGAGGAGAAAAGTTGTGCTTGTATAATAGTGACCAGGCAAGAAGAAATTGTTTATGAAATTGAGATAATTTAGCTGGTATTTTCTCAACCTTATAATTACAGAGTAATAAGAAATTAAGCCCTCCAAATTTAGAAAATATGTAATTTGGAATAAAATTCCAGATTGAGGTTGGATTTTTGAGAAAAATTTTTCCCCATTTAATTTTGATAGTATTATTAAATGTACAAAAATCCAGCATATTAAGACCCCCATTCTCAAAGCTATTCATAATTACCGATTTTTTAATATAATGGATACCATTTTTCCAAATGAAATTAAATAATATTTTATCAGTATGATTTAAAATGGATTTGTCAACATGGAGAGATTGAGCAGCATATGAAAGTCTGGAGATACCTTCCCCTTTAGTAAGAAGAATTCTTCCCCTCAAAGATAAATCCCTCTGGAGCCATAAGTTTAATTTTCTACGAGTTTTCTCAATAATAGGATCAAAATTAATAGAGCATCTAACTTTTTCATTTTTACAAATAGTGATACCCAAGTAAACTATATTATCTTTAACTGGGATATTATTAATTGTAGAAAGACTAGATTCTTTTACTGAAAGTAATTCACATTTAGATAAATTTAAAAAAAGACCAGAAGCTTTGGAGAAGGATTGAATTGTATTAATAGCAAAGGGGACACAAGATGCGTCTCTTAAAAAGAGAGCAGTATCGTCTGCTAATTGGCTGATTTTTAATTCCCTTTCCGCAATGATAATTCCTTTTATGGCACTTGTTTTAATATATTGAGAAAGTACTTGAGTGGCCAAAAGAAAAAGATAGGGTGAAATGGGACATCCTTGTCTGATACCCCTCTGAAGGCTAAAACGACTTGAAGTACCAAAACAAAATTTCAAGGAGCAATTACTGTTAGCATAAAGTGTCGTGATAGCATTATAAAAAAAAATCACCAAAACCAAATTTTTTAATACAACGAAAAATAAAATTGTGCTCTACCGTGTCAAATGCTTTGTAAAAGTCTAGAAATAATATAAAACTTTCATCAGAAATAAAATCAGAATAATCAATTATGTCTAAAATTAATCTTATATTATTAGAGATTAATCTGTTTTTTAAGAAACCAGACTGCGATTCATCAATTAAATAACTCATTACCTTTTGTAATCTTTGGGCAAAAATTTGAGCTAAAATTTTGTAATCGGTATTAAGTAAACAAATTGGACGCCAGTTCTCAATATGTAGTGGATCCTTTTTGGCCTTTGGAATTAGGTTAATTAAACCTTGTGTTAAAGTAGGTGGGAGAGCACTTCGCAAAAAACTCTCTGCATAAACTTCAACCAGGAAAGGAGCTAAAGAAATAGAGAAAGTCTTGTAAAACTCATTAGTAATACCATCATTTCCTGGTGATTTATTAACTTTTAAAAGGTTTATGGAATCAATTACTTCTTTTATAGAAATAGGTTCATCACAGCAAATTTTATCACTTTCCTCTATAATTTTCAGGTCAGTTATCGAATCTAAAAAAGAGGATGTAGAAGTATCATCTGATTGACGGGTATAAAACAATTTATAAAAATTATGACAATATGCCATTGATATATCTATGAGTTGCTGCTATGGTAGTTTTACGATTGCCCCATGAGCCAATGAGCAGTTGGGAATCCGCCCACTCCAGGAATCAACCGAGCCGATTGACCAATTGGAAAACAAGGATTAAAAAGATCCGAGCCAAAGGACGAATCAGGAACAGAGGATTAACACGCTACTCTACTCTTCCCACTGACGCCAATCCACCGCTGCTAAACCACCCTGACGGAGGAACAACCTGTCGAAAACACTTAACCCGTCACTTAAACCAGACAATTAAAATGTTTCTTCGCGTCCTGGAAATCATATACTTCATTTACTTCGCCTCGCACATTCCAATTACCCTCCTGGTTGATCTTCAAGCTTTACTTCCCGAACATGTATATCCACCTGAGGTAAGTTCACACTCTCAGCTGTGTTTGTCATAGAATAAATGTAATTCTTTAACGTCAGGACTAGGTAAACATTATTATCTGCGTTACAGCTGATCAAGCTCCTGCACTGGTATGCTGGTGAATTTAAGGACCCGATGATGATGGACCCTCCTGCGTGGTTCAAGTCGTTTGTGTTCTGCGAGGCGCTCGTGCAGCTGCCCTTTTTCCCAGTTGCAGCGTACGCCTTTCTGAAGGGTCAGTTCTGCTCCGGTCAAACCATCACTCCTGTTATAATTTGTAGAAGCGATTTTTAATGTCACAACAGTGACATCTAACGGGCATAAGGCTTCATAACTAAACCAGAGTTGTATTTAAAACGACTTTTAAGCAATTTATCTACAGGGATTTCTGGAATTTTCAAAGGACTGATGTTATTCCAGACATTGAAATTCGGGAAATATTATATTGTTGTTGCCTGAGCCATGGATATCAGGGTTTTTATTGTCATATTAAATGTTTTTTTTTTATCAAAATGCTAATTTCTAACTATTTTTGAACTTTAAAAAGAGGGAAATTTATCATAACTTAAGGTTAAAACAGCTGCTATAGCAGTATTTATCAATATGTGGAGCTTTTTGGATTCTAGCAACTAATGGAAATAAGGTAAAACAGGAAATGTGTTAGGACTATTGTTATCATTTACATCCCTCAAAATTATCTATAGCTTCGTCAACTGGCAATCAAATGTAGTTACCAGGCTGTACCTTGATGGTATCTATTCAGTGCTCCAAACAACAATTGTCTTTTTTTCAGTTCATTATAGATCATGAAAATTCATCTAAGTCGGGGGATATCTGTGAAAAGTCAGGCAATTAGATATTTGGCTTAGAGTAAGTGGGAAGCATGTTTCTATACAATGCACAAGTGTCTATTTTCATGCTATTAGTACTTATTTCTCGTATCCTTTCCATGTAGTATTATTGCTTATTTATTAGTTACATGTGTTCTTTTAGGTAGGGCTAGTACCTTTTTAAAGATACTGGTACATATTGTTATGTACTAGATTGCTTTAGATCAGGGGTGCCCAAATTCGGTTCGTTGGGCCAGTATCCTGCTTAGTTTAGCTCCAACTTCCTTCAACACACCTGCCTAGTTTCTACTATACATAGAAAGAGCTTGATTAGCTGGTTCATGTGTGCTTAATTGGGGTTTAAACTAAAGTTTTGTTAAAGTTTAGTTTGGGCATCCCTGCTTTAGATAGAAGTACTTATTGCTTAAATGTTATTTCAGAATTGACTAGTAACTGCTCTATTGTTACGAGTATCAAACCACATTTTGTTACTAGTACATTCTTGCCATTGGTGAGGACTTGTTATAACAGGTTAAGTTTTTTTTTTATTACTTATTCATTAGGTGCTATTTTTTAGATGCTAGTATCTTATTTTAAATATAGCTGCAAGCAGCAAATAAAGGGCCAAGCAGTCCAAAGGCAGAATGAGCAAAGCAGTTCAAGAGCCAAAAGCAACAAGGTTAATGTTATTGTTTTTTAGCTTTTGATCAATAGGTGGCAAAGTTACAAATTTGATATGTTGTGGTCAGTGTTAGGTGACCATGAAGAACCTAAAGTTTGGTGTCAATATATTTAAGTATTGCAGAGAGACTGCCTCATGCAGTTTGGAGTTATACCAGCACTTTTGTTGAAAAAAAAATCAAGAGCTATTTATTAAATACTAGTATCTTTTTTAATTGCTACATGTAACAGTTCCTGTCTTACTAGTCTGCTTTTGGTTTTTTTTTTTTAATCAGCTTACAGGAGTCCCACTCTTGACCAAGTGCCACATTTCCTGACCTTTACTGACTGAAAAGCTGCACTTCAATGGCTTATAATAAAGGCACTACTGTCCTTTGTATAAAATTAAAATAGTTTTAACTTGACTATATTTTTCCATGAATTCAGAAGCCATCGTGAGGGCCAACAACAGATAATTTTAGATTTTTTAAATTGAAAGAATCAAGTGCACCCAGTCTTAGAAGACTGAGTCAATTTAAGTCGTTTTGTAGCTCTTGAAATTGACATTTTCCTGCCTTAGTTAACAGGTAAAACTTGGTGACTGCATAAGCAACATGAAAAAAAATAAAATGGCACTAAAAAAAAAGATTAACCATTAACAACTTGGTTAAAATATTATGGCATAGAAAAAATAAAATGTTTTGACAAATGGAAACTAAACTTAAGCAAACAAGTTAATTATATTTAATGAACATGTCATTTATTCAAGGTCATTTATAACTTTAATAGTGCAGTGAAAACTTTTATTAATATCATTTGTCTATATGTTTCCCTTTTTTTTCTTTTTGCATTTTTAATTCACTAAGATCTAGCTGTTGATTGGGAAGTGACCTAAAGATAAAGAGGAGATGCTACTGTCTATAATTAAGTTGGTATTGGGATGGGTTCTAATAAACATGATATTGGTTTAGATGCAGTGAAAGTAATCCATTGTCTTCTACTAGCTAAGGTCATATTATTCCAGCTAATTATTGTGCTCGTCTGTTTAATAGGTGGCTGCAAATGGATCAGAACTCCAGCCATAATTTATTCTGTTCATGTGGCCACCACTCTGGTCCCAATTTTAAGCCACATACTTTTCCACAAGTTTCCTTTGAGTCCACATCCGGGACCCCAAACTTTGAATGAACGTCTGACCCTGGTGTCCATTTATGCTCCGTACCTCATCATTCCCATTATGATACTGCTCACCATGCTCTTCAGCGCAACTTACAACTCACCATCTCTGAAAGGAAATGCTCCCTCAAAGGCCAAGAAACAAAGATAAATGCCAGTTCATCTTTCTACACCCTAAATTAGAGCACAGTATGTATTGATCAAATCCCAACAGGGTTGTTAGTAGTCATTATTTGATAAACGTGATTTAATATGTGCCAAATTTCTCAATTATATGTGACCATTTTTTAAGCTCTAGAAATTGTTTACCGATGACAGCAGATGTAAATGCAAAATATATTTTTATTCAAATGTTCTTCAGATCTTTATGAGCTTTGCCCAATGTTGAGATTACACATGGTAAATGTAAACAAGTAATAAATGAACTTACTTTTCCATAACTTCTACTGAAATTATTTTGGTTTGGTCCCAATAAAAATATCATGAGGATATGATATAATAAAAACGACATGGGTTCAAGTCTCAAACAGGAGTTGTAATCATACAGAAAACAATAGATTTACCTGAAGATGTCACATGATGGAATTATTTACAGTAACATGCAAATACTGTATTTCCCTATTGTAAAAAAAAAGATCAGATTTACAAACTAATTTTCATATAAATAGTATAAATAACATTTGTATATAAATAGTTTCATCTGAGATTATGATCTATGGTTGGAAAGATTACAAGGATGTGCCTCCAGGAACTGGCCATGCAAAAGCACTCAATGCTGTGAGGTTGAGGCTGAAACAGACGTCTGTTGTCTGCCATAACTGCTCAATTCAGTTCATCTAGTTTGAGACCTTGCACTTATTAGGAAGTCAATGTGAATCAAGATGCATAGCATCATTTTTCCTGTCCAGCAGAGAGAGGAAACACAGTGCTCTTATTTCTGCAGTATAAACTGATCAATGAATTCACTCTGCTCAGCTTCCACTTTCTGAAGAGCTTCATATTCTATTCGATACCTGCAAAACAAAAAGACTTTTTAGTCTTGAAGAGAAATTCAGAGCATAAACACAATGCTGTTCACTACTTGAAGTGGCTGTATGCAACATTCAGAAACCCTTGTCATAAGCAATATTGGTGGCCTAAAATGAACGGCATACAGTTCTGGGCAGATTACTTTGAAACTGTAGTCAATTGCTGATTACTGATGATCATGAAGAACTGTGGTTCATTTTAGGTAATGGTTTATGTATTTCAACTACTTTTAGATTACGAACTTTTCACTTACCAACTGATGTAACCACATGTTTATTTTGCTAGCACGCTGAAATTAATCTGTGCTCTGAATTAGTCAATTCAGTGAAAAAGATGTTCAGTGTTTTGATATTCGTTAATTAAATTCTGACCACTTACTATCTACACCTCTGATTACACAAGTTTGGGTGATATATGCTTAACCACGCCCCTCCAACAGTTACTTTGCTGTGAGTGAAAGATAAAAGGAGGAGTCCAAAATGTATGTATGTATGTAAGTATGTTTCATTATTTTAAAATGTTATATACTTCAATTCCAAGTTACAACCTAACTTTCAGAATCTGATTACGTAATGCAGATAACATGTATTTAGTTGCTAACTAGCACTGTGCACATGCCAATGCAAATGCTGTAATAGATTTATGGTGATGCTCTTTCTTTTGTTCTCTTTTAGAAGTAACAAGTTGGAAATTACCATGCAGTAACTGAAAAATGACTGAAAAATAGAACTGAAGAAAAATATCAGACCATAATGATGTATTATGATGTATTATCATATTTACCTTTCCAGTTGCATTTTCTTCTCTGCAATCAGAGCCTGAAGCTGTTGCTGCTGGGCTTCCCGTTGCTTTTCAACCGATTTCAGCAAATTTCTTGCCCCTATGGCCTGAAGGTGAACCATATATAAATACAAAACGCAAATATGCACTGCTAATAGTTTAAAACAACAACGTACCTTCATTTTTTCAGTTTCGGCTTCCTTCGCAAGTTCATCCACAAGTTCAATAAGTCCACCTACAATTTTCTGAAACTGTCCGATCTCTGTTTTCAAAAGCAAAAGGAGAAGTTATTGATCTGGACTGCAAAAAGCAAAGAAATTCAGTTAAGAGAGATAAACTTCACAATGAGATTAAAAAATAAAAAACACTTACTGTCGACAAACTCCTCACATTCCTCTTTGAGCTCAGTTGTTTTCTGGCTCACATCAGGCTCAAGTACTCGCAGTTTGTTGAGCTCATCAAAATGAAGACCAGCCTCTGCTAACGGGTCTTTAGCCATGACCAGAGGACCGTAACCTGCCTGTGTGACTCAATAATGGCTGATAATTATACAGAAACAGAAGTATGTTAAAAGAAAAATATGCATAATTTTATTGTATTCAATACTGACAAATACAGTGTTGATTTTGCAAAGTAAAATGTCTAGACGTGCCAGTATTCAATAATATATCACAACGATAATGAACATACATGCTTTATCACTTTAAAATAAGTAATAATTACTTATTGTTATTGAACTTTCAGAATGCATTTTAAGAATATTCAGTTTGCTGCTTTTGCAATGATGTTCTAAAAAACTTTTTCGCGTTAATCTGATGTACAACATGGCTAAAATGTCATTTAATTAGTTTGAAACGATGTTTTGCTCTGAACATTTATATACCAGCAGGGCCGGAGTGGGACTGCTTTTTAGCCCTGGAGTTTCAAGCCTTAGACCGGCCCACCTCAGTTCACGACTGACTATATTAAAATAACGTCATTTCTAATTTAGTTTCTAATGACAATATACAATCTTTTTCAAGGACACAGCTGCTTTAGAAGTTCAAATGTTTTTCATAAATATGAGAAGATTAAAGGGATAGCTAAATCTCCAACACTATTCTTTACAACGTCCTTTCCTGCAATATCCGAATATATATTCTGTGCAAAATTCTTTATAGATATCCAGTCCTTTGTAAGGGCGGTCACACAAAAAATAAAATATGTACACCTACATAAGTAACCCAATCAGTATTATACTAACACTAAAAATGAAAAGAAAAAAAAAAAAAAAGATTATTTAGGTGAGGTTCGAACTCGGGTTGGCAGCGTTGTAACGCAACGTGCGGACCATTTGACCATTTTTTCTCCTCTTTTTAGATTTCTGATCAAGTTATGTCAGATTTATTAATGTACTGAATCATCTGATTTTCATTGAGCAGGTGTAATATTCACTAATATTAATTATTTGAATTCTTATATTCACTTAGGCGCTGCTGTCATCATTAACCTGCAGGCTGCATTTTGCTCACGGGGCTGCTAGAAAATAAATAAAAAGAGCGGAGCTGCGCCAAATAATGAATAAAAAGAGTGAGGCTATGGTCAATAAAAAAAAATTTGGCCTAGTGGCCAAAAAAAATGGACTGGCCCTCCCGGAATTCTCCAGATTAGCCAATCCGGGCCAGTATACAACTATATTGACATATACATTGTTTGTGTGTGTGTATTTGTACAAAGACACAGTTCTAATATTTTGTGCTCTATACAGAAACACAAATTTAAATTGAAACAAACAAGATGTGCTTTAACTGCAGACTGTCAGCTTTAATTTGAGGGTATTTACATCCAAATCAGGTGAACGCTGTAGGAATTACAACAGTTTGCATATGTGCCTCCCACTCGTTAATGGATCGAAAGTAATGGGATAGAATAATAATCATGAATCAAACTTTAACTTTTTAATACTTTGTTGCAAATCATTTGCAGTCAATTACATCCTGAAGTCTGGAAGTCTTCACCTGATTTGAATGTAAATACCCTCAAATTTAAACTGACCGTCTTAATTTCAAATCCGTTGTGTTGATGTATAGAGCAAAAAATGTTAGAATTGTGTTGATGTCCCAATATTTAATGTTCTCACTGTATATATACTGTATATATGTATGTATATATATATATATATATATATATATATATATATATATAAAATCTTTTTTAGACACTAGGTCCAATAGTACAAAAGACAATATAAACCACACAATACGTTAAAAAATACAGTTATGCCAATATTTTAAAGGTGACTGATAAAGCACCTCCATAAGCCTAGGGTTTAACATTAAAATGCTATTCTGAGAATTCTCTTATCGACAAATAAACTTATAGATCAAATTTCTCATCCAAAGCAAAAAATGATCAAACTCTTACATCACAAAATAATTCACCTGTACTACACCTAGGCATGGGACGATAACAGTTTTCAAGGTATACCATAGTTGGGAAAAGTCAAGGTTTTAAAACTGCTATAATTTTCTGCTATACAGTTCCTAAGGTATGTGTAAGATTTTTCATTAACATTTTTTGTTGTTGTTGTTTTTTGGGACAACAGTATCTCCAACAGAAAAAAATATTCAAAGATACCTGTTAAATTGTAATGAATTAAGTGTTTTTAAAATAAATAAAGACAGCAGAAGTCATGGATTCATTTGAACTTTTTAGTCTGATTTGTTAACTGCTCCTAAATATTTGAAAAATAAATATTGTGTTCAAAGGGGGGAAAGTTTTAGTTTTTTACCCAGACATTTAAAAAGAATATATTTCAGAGCAGTAATCTTAATACCGTGAAACTGATATTTTTTATTCATGGTTTTCATACTGTCAGAATCCTATACCGGCCCATGCCTAACTACACCATCTATGTTTTTAAGAGAATCTCCATACAATCATTGTATGCAACCTGGAGCTTATGGACACTTTATTTAATTATACCACAGAGGAGCTGTGTATAAAGAACTGCAATAAGTTCTAAAGAGGTTTAACTTTTAACCTGCTCCGAAAACTTTCTCCCTAGCAAATTTGCTTCAACATATAACTTTAAACGTTCCCTGTACATGTACTTTTTATCACTCATATCTTCTGTAATGACATGCCCTAAATATTTAACAGCCTTACTAGCATTTAAATTTTGCCGTGACATCATGTAAACACTCCTTTTTAACCTAACCTTTTTTATTATATTGCACATCATAGTTCTCTCTCTCTCTCATATATATATATATATATATATATATATATATATATATATATATATATATATATATATATATATATATAAACTTATTTTTATCACATGTTAAAGCAACTCTTTATTCCACCACACGAAGATAATACAATATAACGTGATAAATGCTTTAGCAATGATAAACAAAACAATCTGATTCCATCATGACAATCTCTTGCAATAAAGCATATCCCAATTCACAATGAGCTAGCTAACGGATTAGCTAGTTAACGTAGCAGGTTCATTTGAAGTAACGTTACATGAAACTACCACAGTCGTTACATTGCACCAACCACGTAAGCGTAGAGTATGTTTACTTAAAAGAAGAGGTAGAGATGCTATTGTTCACAAAATTCGCTTTGTTGCTGATATGGTCTGGTTGCCATTGAGATAGATAAACACAAACAAACAAACAAACCAGCTGGGAACTCCACAATCTTATTAAACTGTATATACAATATTTACAATTACTGAACAAAATGGCACTTTATAAAGTAAAATAAACTAGTAAATGTCATAACCCTACCTGACTTTTGTTTGGTTATGTGGCACTTCTGTTGGACCGACCGACCGCTTCCTCGCATCTGTCTGGCGACGGCCCGTCCAACTCGTGATGAAACGGAGGGGTGTACGAGTGCATCTTAAATATATTTATGTTTGAGATCTCGCCTTCTTTAAATTAAATAAACACCCTTATGTCTCATAAATAACTGAATAAGCGGTTATGTTATCTGTTTTGCAATAGTGTAGTAACACAAATTCATAGCCAACTTTAAAAACCTACCCCCTCCTAATACTGTAAACGTTTATGTATGAACTCGTCCTGCAGTTCTGCATCAGACCCATATGCGCGCGCGAGACAACTGATGGGAAGCTAAACTTAGTCAAAATCACAAGAAGAAGAGCTAATGGCAACAATTTAAGGGCGCCAAACTCTAAAATGATATTAATTTGTCATATTTCATATATCTAACAGGTGAGTTCAGCAACAGGAACATGTACTGTGTATGTTTAATGTTCGCCCTTTCACGGCCTGACGCCATTTTAGCTAACTAACTTAGTAACGTTAGTAACTTACAACTAGTTGCCAATATTATGTTTATTAATTCTCGTCACAATTTGTAAACAGCTGATAGAAACTTGTTCATGTTTCTGTTAAAGACATTTTCAAGTTCATTAGAAAAATTAACATTCAGATATCTCGTTTTTTTAATAAAAGACGGCGACAATACATTTTTCTGTGTTTAACTTGTTTTTAATTGTTATGGATTCCATATTTTAGTATTATAATTGACAATTATGATTATGTTTGCATTCAAAATAGAACATAGTAGCCATTCTAGCACACATTTAAACAACATTAGTTTTACTTACAAAACAAGTTAGAAAAAATAGTACAAAACAAATATGAAAATGTTAAAACTTCAATCTGATATGCAAATTTGATGTTTTTTTTTTTCCATTTAACGATTGTTATCTGTAAACTATTGGACCAAATACTGCCTACATTCTTTAATTAAATTTAATATTTTAACTTTTCTGTGAATTTATTGTATACAATATTTACTACTTATTTATTTAACATTTCTACTTTGAAATGTCATTACAGATGTAATAACATGCCTCTGTCAACTCAGTCCCAATCCGATGTTGACCAGTACATCCTGATAGCCAGTTTGGACAATGCAAGGAATCTGTCCAACATCCTAAAAGCCATCTCTTTCAAGGATCATGCCATCTTCAATGCAACACAGAATGGGTTGAAAGTCACAGTTGAGGACTCCAAATGCCTTCAGGCCAATGCATTCATTCAGGTTGATGTTAGCAGACAAATTCAGACACTTTCTGCTGAGAACAGTTGAATCTTTAAGCATATTTGTGTATTTTCTGACATCAGGCTGACATCTTTCAAGAATACATCATCAAAGAGGATGCAGTTGGCTTTCAGGTTAACTTAACTGTTCTTCTCGATTGCCTCACCATCTTCGGGGGAAGCACAGTGCCAGGTGTGTATTACAATTGTGATCCAGTCTTTTTTTGGGAAATGTAACATAATCTTTGTTTTTATTTTATCATTAAGGTGTGTGCACCGCCTTGAGAATGTGCTACAATGGATATGGATATCCACTAACTTTGTTCCTGGAAGAAGGTGGTGTGGTCACTGTATGCAAGATTAACACACAGGAGCCCGAGGAGCCCATAGACTTTGACTTTTGCAGTACAAACGTGACCAACAAGGTGATTCTGCAGTCGGACAGTCTTAAAGAGGCTTTCTCTGAGCTGGACATGACCAGTGAGGTTCTGCAGATTACCATGTCACCGAGCCATCCTTACTTCAGGTACAGTAGTTATGAACATGACATGTTTGAAGTGGTTTAAATAAGGGATGTCCAGATCACGTTTTTTTTTTTGTTTTTGCCTCCGAGTCATTTGATTTTGAGTATCTGCCAATACCGAAACTCGATCTGATACTTTTATAATGCATTAAAAAAATAAAGAAGAGCAAAGAAATAAATCCAGTATGTTCCTTATTTTTTATTTAGTTCACTGTATTTTAACATTTAACAAAGATCACTTCTGTGAGGTAGCTTGAACAATCAAGTAATAAGTAACATAAATTCTTCACTTTTGGACTTAAGTGCAACATTAAATATTTAAAAAATCTAATATTAAACCAAAAAGCACCTTATCTTAAAATACTCAGCAGGCAACGCTGCTGTTTCTGTGTGAAGTTAAGAAAGAGGTCTAACTCTGTGACATCGCATAACAATATATGTGTTAAAAAAAAACAAATATATATATATATATATATATATATATATATATATATATATATATATATATATATATATATATATATATATATATTGATCTTGACATCTCTAATTTAAATGTTTATTTTTTTTCCATCTGATAAAAAAATGCTTACAAGGTTTCTTTTATTTTTATAAAAAATTGAAAAATCACAGTACATTTGTGAAATCTTCCCACAATTTACAGTATGTGTTTGCATTGTGATATTTAAGAATGCTGTTCAGTCCTGTGATGGCAAAGCTCAACTTCCAGCACAATGTGTCCAGTCTTCCACATCTCATGATCCTCCAGAAATCATTCAAATGCACTGATTTCCTATTTAAGAACAGTATAAGATTTTTTAGAAATGGTTATTGATACAGTTTTTGTTTAATGGAAAGCTCAAATGAAAAGCATTTATTTGAGGATAACGTTATTTATTTTGATAAATGCAGGTCAGAATATGTTTTCCACTTTTAAACCTTTGGTGATATGATATAAGCATTCAGGGTTTTTTTAACAAATGAAAAAAACAAACAAAAAAATTTGCGGTTTGTTTTTTATTTATTTATTATTAACTAATTTAATGCATTTTAATTAATTTATTTATTTGAATATATGGTTCAAATAGAAAAATAATAAATGTAATTTTATATAATGTAGGTTAAGTGTTTATGTTATTAATTCATATAATTTTGTGAAAAATATTTATTTTTGACTCAGAATAAAAGCAGGACACATTTATATGTGCAAGGAAAAATGATCTGAAGCTGCTTTGTACTTTTTTTGCTTTCGTGCTTGTAAAAGCTTTTAAAAACATTTTTCCTTTTCTTCCTAGATTATCCACATTTGGTAATTCTGGAAATGCCCATTATGATTATCCCAAGGACTCAGACATGATGGAGCTGTTCCAGTGTACAAAAATACAGACCAACAGGTAGCAAAACAGACTAACTTTTCACAGTTGCCTTTTGGTTCTCTTTTTGTTTAGTCCAGATCAAAAACAAAAATGATATGGTTAATCCAGGTTCACTTAGAACTCAGATGACCATTTTGTTCACCTAAAGATGCCAAACATAATGAACCTGTACTTTAGTTTGGTCAATGTTTGCAATTGTTCCACATTTCAATATATGGTGCCTGGTCGTCTATGATCCCTGCTTGACAACAGACATCTAGTGATGTGAGAAATGCTGTTCAGCAAATTGCAGTATCATTGCTAGTACAATATACTGTACTCTGGTACAGTAAAAGCAAAGTAAACAAAGTCACTAAGATTTATTCACTCTTACATTTATTCTCAAAGGTATAAGATGTCCCTGTTGAAACCGTCCACAAAAGCCTTGGCCCTGTCCTGTAAAGTGTCGGTCAGAACTGACAGTCGAGGCTTCCTCTCTCTACAGTATCTCGTGAGGAATGACGACGGTCAGATTTGTTTTGTGGAGTACTACTGCTGCCCGGATGAAGAAGTGGAGGAGGAATAGGTTCATGCATGATGATCTCCTTTTTTAGGTTTAATAATGTATATAGTTTGTCCTGCACTAATGTTATCATTTATTAAAAATAAAATATAAAGTAATGTCATAAACCAAATAAACTTCTATCATTGAAGAGATAGTTCATCCTAAAAGAAAAATGTACTTTCCAATTTACTCACCCTCAAGTGTTTCTGTTTTTAAAACATAAAAAGATATTTTGAAGAATGTTGAAAATTAGTAGACAACTGGAATCTTCTAGTTTCCAAGATTTTTTTTACAATTTTCAGTTGCATTTAACTGAGGAAAGAAATTTAAATATGGTGGAACAAGTTGAAAGTGAATGAATGATGACAGATTAATTATTTAGGGTGAATTATCCCTTTAATTAGAAACATTCTATTAAGTTTGGACGATTCCCTGTGTGATCGGCAGGGGGCGCGAGGGAATTGTATGTTAGGCTTTTACTGGAGCAGCCTGATGTTTTAATAAATATGAAATATATATGTTAAAAATAGACATGTTTTCAATTCTGCTTTTAGTATTCTCCTAAATATGTGTCTGTGTATTCACATTTTATGAATGTTCCAGCCCACAAAGTACAATTTCAATTGTTCCTTGTATATTTACAGTCATCTAAATGATTAGAATACAACAAATAAGTTAATCTGTTGTCTCAGCCTGTAAATGTTTAATGCGTCTTCATTTTCTTCCACGAACGCGTTGTGAGGCAAACAGGCGGCTTGATGTTGATTCCGGCTGAAAGACGGTCCCAGAACTGCGCGCGCTCGAGCGGCCGCCTCGCTCGCGACCAATCGCTTCTTCACTCGCAGCTGTTGAGGCAACACTGTTTCCGGGCAGAGGAGCATCACAGGAGCAAAACAAGCGCACTTCTGTCGCCCTCTCATCTCAGCGGGTTCCTGCCCTGATGCATGAGTTGCTCACTGAAGCTGCAGAGAAACCCGCCAGAAACAGGCCAGCTACTGCAAATTATACATTTATATCGACACTCTTACAAATGAAGCTGCCAATGGTTCCATTAACAACTTTTACATTTATAAGGTTCATGAACATAAAAATGTTCTTTATTGCTGAAAATTATCATTTGGATTATGAAAATGGATATTTGAAGCGCTATTCAAACCCAAAAAGGTTTTTTTTTATGGCATTACTAAAAATCTTGTTTTGTTTTTGCTTCTTTCTGCCATCTTTATTTTTAAGAATGATCAGCTCTGTTTAAGGCTACAACTAAGAATAAGGTGTGAAAAATGTCTTAAATTTCAAAAACTGACTTTTAGGCCTTAAAAAGTCTTAAATTCACTTAACTATTTTGTTGTAGGTCTTAAATTATGTTAAACAGGTCTTTATTTTTCTGTGTCTAAGTTAAACTACCCAATCACCAATAATCCATCTCAAAACTTTGACATGTGATTGGTGAAATGGAATGGAATAAATCTGAAAAATGCATAATTATTTATCATTATTGGCTCAGTATATTTTTTTATTACAAAATTTTATCAGAAAGGACATAATAGGTTTATCAAAAGTGAAAGCAAAGACATTTAAACCGTCAAATCAGTTTTGACAAATGCTGTTCATTTGTGCTTTCTAAAAACCAAGAATAAAGTTGTTTTAGTTTCTAAAAAAAAAAGTTCAACATTGGAAATATTAAGAAGTTTTTTTGTGAACATATTGTAAGGATATCTGATCATGGAGACACTGAACACTAATAATGTAATGAGTAATCAGACTTAAAGTTCTTTGTCAAGCATTGCCATCACATGAGTCAATGACATATTAAAATGTATTATAGAAAAGCAGTTTTTAAAGTTGTTATAGTAATTCCCAATATTATTATTATTATTAAAAAAAAATGCAGCATTGGTGAAAAACAAGTTCAGAAAAATAAAACAATTACCGACCCCTTATCTTTGAGCATTAGTGTATGTTTACAGTACAGTCATATATTATAGCTACGCATGTGGGCTTATACTTTCCACATCTTGTAAGATAACCCAATTTTCCCTACATATGGAAAACAACAACAGATTCAGCAAAACCTACTAAAACATGTGAGGTTTCAACTTAAACGCACTGTACCACATCTAAGGCAACACTTAAGGTGTAAATATATATATATAAATATATATATATATATATATATGTATATATGGTTTGTTTGCATTGACAGTTCCATAAAGAGTCTTTAACACCACTGGAAGCTACTCGTTACAAAAATAAATAAAAATGCAGTTGAGACAGTTTATTTGAATTTAGTCTAGCTGAATTGTTACATTATTTCCCCATGATTAAAAATACAAAAAGTACAATTAAAAAGTAAATTATAATTATATAAACGATTAACATTTTATCAAGATCATGCAGAAGTGCGCTCCTTTTGCGATTGTTTTAGAACTTCCAATTCAGATGCCTATATGAGAGAAATGACAAGGGATGATAAACAGCAGAAAACAGTCAAACTACTTGTTCTGCAAACAAGTGTCTTCGTGACTATACAGACAAAGCAGAATAATACAATAAGGAAATATCAGTTGCAGCATAAAAAGCTGTTTTTAACTAAAATTTAGGACCTGTGAGGGGATAAACACTAGTAGGATTTTTTTCTAATGTGAAAGGAAAAGATTTTACTGTCATCAAAGTATTCCAATTTACCTATTTCAGCCACATATTTTAAATAATGTATCAAAACAAGCAAACTGGTTTTATAGGTGCACTTTTTTCAACATAACATTTCTAAACATTGCTAAGTATATGCAATAATTCTCTCCAGGTGATTGTTCTCACCTTAAATAAATTACTTTTAAACAAATGCTATTGTAAGGAAGATAATTAAACTATAGGCAAACAGAGTTAAACATTAAACTATTTGCTTAAAGTTTCTATTGAGGTGGATTGCTGTTGATTGGATGATTTCGGCCTGAATGAGTAGCTTTTTAAAGGCATAGGGAAATTAAGATCTGTTTAAAATGATTTAAGACCTACAACACAATATTTCAGTAAATTTAAGACTTTTGTAAGGCCTAACATTTAGTTTTAGGAATTTAAGACATTTTAAGACCCCACGGACACCCTGTTTAACATTTAAAAATCAATAAAAGTGAATAACCCTGGATGTTTCGAGCCAAAAAGACTGCAATGGCTGCACCCACAAATAATGTCAATAGAGATGCCTTTCACATTTTAAGAGAGGAGTCCCTCACATTAGCATGATCACATCCAGGAGCAGATTTAGTGATTTAGTGGCCTTAAGCAATTCTAGCTATGAGGCCCAATAGTTTGTACTTTAATTTATTTTTAATTGATTTATTTTGCTGTTATTTCTTACATCACTCAATCTCCTTTTCTGTATTTTGTCTTAATGCAAAATAATATGTAAAGCATCCTATAAAATGTTTCAAATAATTTGTTTTCTTAAAATGAATTCGCAACTAAAATAATTTATATATATATATACATATATATATATATACTGTTTTGTAATAGTTTTAATGACATTTTATTCAATATTTTACTTTTTTTTTTTTTTTTTTTTTTTTTAAACTAAATCTTCACCTAGTTTGACTGCTGGACTACTTCATGATTGAGGGTGGGGGACATATTTGCGCAAAAGTTTAAAAAAGTAAACTTTTTTTTTTTTTTTTACATTGTTAACATCCTTGTCATTCAAAATATGATAGAAAATTATGTTATAAACTTCCCAGTGATGGGTTGCAGCTGGAAAGGCATGGGCTATATAAAACATATGCTGGATGAGTTGACGGTTCATTCCGCTGTGGCAACCCCTGAATAATAAAGGGACCAACCCAAAAATAAAATAAATGAATGATGTTATTTTTAATTTATAGGTCCAGTTTTTACTTATAGGTATTTATTTGGGGCCCCTCAGATTTCTTAGGGCTCTAAGCAGCCGCTTACCTTGCTTATTGGTTAAATCAGCCACTGATCACACCTCAGACTGTGCCATTAAAATCTTGCTTATTTAAGCCTTTTTTAAAAGGATTTTAACTCTGTAAATGAGCATCAAATCCCCCAGCTGCACTGACCGCTCAGACAGCATCCAACAACAGTGTCCAGCGTAACTAAGTAAACACTGCCCAGAGTATCATTTGATGCGGGCGAGCAACCTGATCCAGGGCATGGCTCAGAGCAGTGATGTCACGAGGATGGCATGACTTTGTGCTTTTTAAACACAAGCGCAGCGCTCGCTGATGAAGAGGGCGATCCTCTGCCCACTGCTCTGATAAACAGTCTTGACCTAGCAGTGAATCAGCCGGTGTCAGGTTCTGGCTTTTGTAAACTCAAACTGGCCAATGAGCAAACTGTTGTGACTCTCCAACAATTAGCAACAAGAGAACCCATGGGGGATGAAGAGGAGGTGCAGGGCTTTCAGAGCACAGACCCACACGGGACAGTGAGTCATCAGACTGTCTGTTACCTTAACTGTACACACTGACTGTGTGTGCACTGTATCCTACCTCTTGTACTTGAATGAAAGCTAATGGTTTTTAGGGTTCTTACACTGAAAAAATGGCATGGAATGATAACCGTTTTCAAGGTTTATTGTGGTTAGGAAAAGTCAAGGTTTTAAAACCACCAAAAAATTTGGATATACCGTTCCCAACTAAGGTTTTTTATGTGTTGTAAAGTAATCGTGTTTTGTAAGCTACACTCAAAAAATATGTTTGATGCTGTTCAAACTACTTATTTAAATTGAGCTAAAAAAAACACAGTTCTTGGTTTTTTTTTTTTTAGAACAGCTTAATAGATTTATGTTCTATCCATTTAAATTAGCAAAAACAATGATGTTAAACTAATTAATTTGGGTTGGGACAACATAAATGTATTATGTGGAAGTCAATGATTTATTTAAATTATTTAGCCTGACATATTTACTGTTCCAAAATATTATACATTTGAATTGTAAATTGAAAAGTAGTAAAATGATTACTGTATATTGTGTTTAATGGGGGGAAATGTATATCAAACTAATACCGGCCCATGCCTAGCTTCAACTTTTTTTTTTCAACTCTAGTTTAGTACAGTTTTCAGTAATAAAGAAAGTTATTCTTTCATTCATTCATTCTCTTTTTGTTTTAGTCCCTTAAAAGTTTCAGCAAAGTTAAGCTGAAAAACTAAATCCATTTAGGTGCAACAAGCTGAAGTAATTTAAGATGATCTAATGGATTTTTCTGCAGTTCACATTAAAAATATATATTTTAAAGAATTTTTTTTACAGTTATAAAGTTTAAAATTAATATGATTTGTTCTACAATAAAACACTTAAATAGCTTAAGCAGTTTAACAGTTGACATTGATTTTATTGTTTAAAAACTTTTTTGAGTGCGTATAAAGTTTGAAATCTTTTAGTTATAAATGATTATTGTATTTTGTTTTAGAAAAAAATGTAAACAGTAATATGAAAGCTACACACACTTTTTGCTTATAGATTTTTGCTACAAAAAAAATTTCAAAGTTATATACAAATAATTTAAAAACCAAAAACATAATAAAAGAAACCAATAATAAATAAATAAATAAAATAGCGTGGCGTAGTGGGTAGCACTGTTGCCTCACAGCGCTGTTGCTATTTCGGTGCAGAGTTAGCATGTTCCTTTCGTGTTTGAGTACTTGAGTTTTCTCTGGG